TTATTTATTTTTTTTTTTTTTAGGGGGTTTTTTTTTTTTTTTTGATGAGCAGACCCCCCTCCCCTCATGATATACAATACGCAACATTACCTATCTGGTGGCTACTATTTTTATTTTGGTTATCCAGAAATAATGTTTAAAGTGTTAGGGGGCCTATAGGCATATCCCGATCATTCAAAATTTGTGAATGTCATTCATTATTGCATTGCTGCCTACTAATTCTGCCTCATATTTTTTTCACTTGACTGTTGATCGTAAAGAACTTACTAAATTTTTACTCTATGTTTCAGTTACACCACAGCTGAACAGTAGGTACAAAATATTAAGATAGGTAGTAATATTAAATTCAACGACCGTCGACCAAATTTGATATTTAGTTCCATAATTTTTCGTCGTACTGTAGTAGTATGTAATTCATGAACTAAGATATATACATATAGGTACTCTAGTTCGTGCTGTAACTGTATCAACCGAACTCCAAAGTACCAAACACATATAGATTCACTTGAATACTCTTAATATTGGAAAGCTAAAGTCATAGAAATATGAATAAAAATAAATAAATACATTTATTTATAATATGACTATGGCTGAGGTACAGATTATAATATTTCCGAACTCTGAAGTAGCCAACTGGCAGGTAGGTATACTAAATAGTAAATAGGTAATGACTATTAGTTTTATTACATATTAGCTAATAAGTAATAACGCGAATGCCGGTTTAGGTTTTATTAATCCGTGAAGTCCGGGCCCTGGGGGCGGCCTGGCAGGTAGGAAGTGGGTTGCACTAAGCAATGGTTAAATAAATATTCAAATATAGGTTTATTTAGTTCCGGCATTGGGCGGGCTCGGGTCCTTATCAATTATTCGGGATAAAAGATAAAACCATATGTTTTTCTGCTTTATCAGTATAAAAAATTAGTAGATGATAAGGGTGTTCTCTCTTTCACTCTCGAGTGTGAAACTGTGAAGTTACTCCAAATTGAGAAAATCGTCTGTTAACGAGTTTACAAGTTCACAATATTTATCTACCGAAATAACTAATATTCTAATTAAAAATGGCGATGCACTCAGCAGTTAAGGGTAAACTATTGGCTGTGATCGGAGACGAAGTAAGTATAGTCATGACAGTTGTTGCTGTGTAATTACACGATACACAAACGGGAGACCCGCCCTTTTTGGTCGATGAATGTGTATATTTTTTTCGATTTTGGACAGTTAAAAATTTTCACATACATTGACGTCTTGTTGTTTTCGTTTTAGGACACGTGTGTCGGTTTCTTGTTGGGTGGTGTCGGTGAAATAAACAAACACAGGCACTCGAATTTCATGGTTGTTGACAAAAGTAATATTATTATTGAAACGTAATGAAGCCGGTTTAATTGTATTTTCCTCGTTATTTAGATACAGCAATAATTGATATTGAAGAATGTTTCAAAGGGTTTGTCAAACGAGATGATATCGACATAATACTTATCAATCAAAATGTAAGCAATAGTAGTGCTCTTATCGACCTATTAACTATGTTTATATGTTTATGGTAGTGATGTCTTCAGATCAAATATGAAAAACATTTTTTTTAAATCATTAACAGGTAGCTGAAATGATTCGTCATGTAATTGAAGGACATACACAACCGATCCCAGCAGTCCTTGAAATTCCTTCCAAGGATCACCCGTATGACGCTAGTAAAGATTCAATTCTGCGTCGCGCCAAGGTAAGTACTGTGTCTGATTTTTCCATTTTACATTGGATGTCTAATTGTTTGGTTTTGTTTTAGGGAATGTTCAATCCAGAGGATGTATGAGACATCAATTTACCAAATTATTTTATCTTTTGTTTTTATTGTTAGTTTGGTCACATTTATTTTAACATTCCATTTCTAATTTCATTATTTATTATATATTCATAAATATCCAGAATAATGTTTATTAAAAATATTATATTGTTTATTAAGACAAAACAATAGTTATTATTAGAGTTGGTAAATTGAAGTGCCTTACATAATATGTATGGTCGTATTCTACAATGAAATCATAAAATAAAAATTGTATAATAGTAAAAAAAAATAAGGTGGACAATTACAGGTAATATTCAAAGATTGTTAATATCAAATTACCAAGTTGGTCAAATTTATTTTTCCTTAAAATCCTTTGTTACTATGTAAAATAAATCATCAAAGTCTATTAAATGCCAATGCACGTACAAAGTACAAATGAAAAAACTAGGATTTTGTATATTTTTGGTATCTATGCATTACTGTTAATAATAACATTACCTTACATCCAGATGACAGGTGCCAGAATAGTGTTACTTGTTGGTATAGGCGTATAGCAATTAATAAATGTATTTTGGTATGTATTAGTTGCTTTTTTAATGTTCCAGTGTACAACACTTACTATTTATAATTTTGGCAGTTAAATTAAAATGATTATAGTAATATTTGTACGACATAAGTTTTTAAGACATGAATATACATACAGTTTTTGATGTGAGTAATTTTCAACAAAGTAGGTGTTTTTGATTATATTTTCTCAGGCAGATCATAAAATGGTGCAAGTAATTTATTGAACAGTTACTGTTGTAATAACACTTATTTAATTGTTCAGCATTATTTTTTTGGTATACTATTAGTCTTGCATACTTGGTAAATTTGTGTTTGGTCTATGGTTACAGAACTGTTAATTTTAAAATATAACAAATCCTATGTGTTAATGTAAATAGTGTCTTATAGTAAATATTACGGTATTAGATTTATAATAGTAGGATTTATATAGAATAGAACAGATGTTTATAACAAAGACATTTTTTTGAAATGATTAATCATATAGCATGTAAATACAGACAAATAGTTAGCTCAGCACCTTGAAAAATGAAAACTAAATGTCTATGATACATACATATTTAATTTATAAAGTATATCATAGAAATGTATTATGATACAATTAAAATTATGATTATTGTTACTTATGAAATCGTCATTTAGATAGCTGTTGAGATTAAAAAGTCTATTAAAGTGTTAAAAAATTCTATCTTGTCAATCAGTGTCATAACGATTTAAAAACTATAGCTCAGTGATGCGACCAGGAGGGCGCTTAGACCTCACAAAAATATCCTTTATTGATTTAGTTTAAAACTCCATATGGATTATTTTAAATTAATAATTTTGTTGGGTGGTTTGTAGCTCCCTTTCCCCAGAATTTTGACCCTAGTTGAGCCAATAGTATAACTTCTAATAAGGCAGACAAATTGAGAAATATTCAAATACTTTTTAAATATTTTCAAAAACCCATAAAAATAACAATTGATTTTTGTAATAATTAACTTATAATTTAGAGGTCAATACTCAATGGTAATCAACTAAAATAATTTAAACTTCACCCTATATGCAGGAACCAATAGACAATAACATACTATAATTGTTTCTAAAAATGTGATTACCCTTCCAAATCAAATTTATAATTATGCCACTGAAATAATGTGACTTACTCTTATCTTCACATGGCATTATATTATAAATTAAAACAATAACCAGAACCAATATTGATAATGTATATAAAAGTTCATTCTAAATTCAAGTATTCCATATAAAAAAAGTATTTAAATACTACAACTCAAATGGTTTACAACATGGTCAATGATCAAATTAAACCTTTTGCATATGCTACTTTAATTATTGACAGTTATAACTTATTAAGGTTTCTTAAAGAAAAATCATTTTGGTTTTGGATGTCCAAATATTCAAAGGTGATGTGGGCTATGGTTAATTTGGGTCCAAATCTCTGTTAATAACTTTTAGGGTAGAGCTAAATTAGGCTTTATAAAATGTTTATAAACATAAATTGTAAATATCATAGTTCATAACAAACTCAGTTTTTTATGCATTTACATATTTTACAGTAAATAACTGTATATTATTGAATATTAAACTGTTAACCTTGGAATAATACTCAATAGTTTTGTTGTCAGAAGGGGGGGCTACCAAGGTACTAACACAAAATATTAGGATTTATGTATCTTTAGTATTTAATGTTTTTAATTGAAAACCAAAAGCATACATAAATTTGGACAATTTAATATTCAAATAAATAATAATAGTACCTATTTGTTGGTCATTACACTTTATCAGCCAGTACATGTGTATGTCAGGAAGTGCAAATTTTTGATAATTCCTTAAACATAAAATGATATAATTTAACCTACTTTAAGGCTAAATTTAATCTTGTTAAGTTCAAACCGCCCACACAATGAATGCGTCTCATCAGAAACTGTATAACAGTTTAAGCATTCGTTTCTGTGCTCTCAATGCAAAATGGAGTCTCTATATTTGGTGACATTACAGTTGATTATCTATGTCTGTTCAGCCAATGGCGGACCCATTAATGATGATCAAGAACTAAAACCATGTCCAAAAATCAAACCTTTCAACAAAGTCAACATAGATCAGGTAGTAATAACAATTTGAATGTCTAAAACTAGGTTACATAACAATCTGTTGCAGTTATTGGGAAAATGGTTTTTGGCTATAATGGTAATTGAATCAGAACATGAAGAGTTTGTTGAAGATGGAGTTTGCATTCATGGCGAACTTTTGAGATACAATAAAACAACGCTGAGACAAGTATGGAACATCGATAACCCACTATTAATTGGCGATCACAGTGCTGTAATTGAATTGCCAACAACAGAAAACGAAGTAGGAGTTTGGTCAATACAAAGTCCACTAGGAGGTACTCTAAATTAAATATTGACACTTGTTACAATAATATCATTGTCTATCTAAATCTGTTATTATTTGACGTGCCCATATCATAATTTACGATTTTTTTCAGGAGATATAACAGCAACTATTATTGATGCAGATCCTGATACACATTTAATTCTGGCGTTTTGTGGCAAAAAAGGATCAGACTCATTACACATGTGGACTGTAGTTGTAACACGTCAAAATGGAATTTCCGCACCAGAAACCTTAAGGTTGTCAGCCATTTTGGTCAAACATGGTTATAACCCAATGGCAAGTAAAATTATAAGTTGGAAAAATTGTCCGATTTACACAATGATACCATGAGTGTTTTAAAATATTCTGTGTAATCTTGACTAATTAATTAACAGAGAAATAAACAAAAATACAAAATAATACGATTTTTTTTATTTTTTATTTTTTTTTTAACTGAAAATTGTCAATTGTATTACAATAGCTTATATACGGGAAGGATACATCATCTGAAACAAAAACAAATAAATAATTGTTAGAAAATGGAATTCAAACTATGAAGGATGGGTCAAAATGTTTATAACTCAAATATAATAGTAATCATTTTACTAAAATGAATCTACAGAATTTAAAAAGCAGTTTTTAAAATTTTAATTAGAATATTTTAGGGTAAAAATTTGAGTTGTGACCATAATAGAAAAAAAAGAATTGCTTACAATCCTGACTCTGTGTCCCATTGCTTTAGCGGGAAGGTTGGTCTTGAACTTAGCTCGTACAGATCCAGTGGCACCATGAGGACGAGTCACTTTACCCCAGATAGCACGGACCTTAGACTTCTTCTTTGGGCGTCCAGGAACGGACACTAATCGCTTAGCCTAAAAACACAAATTCAATTATATTGTAATTAATTAAAATAAGTAAATTTTAATTTAATCGGTATGTGTACCAATAGTCTATCCACTAAGAAATGCATTTGTTTAAAATTTAGTTAAGAGGTGTTAAATTAGTAATTTGATATAAGACAGCTGTCCATAGGCTAAAATGAATTTTCTTATTAATAAATTCCAGATACTAAATTGTAAATTTAAGTACACAGAACTAAGTAAATCTAGAAGTGAGATCCTTTGTACAAAATAACATGACTTGTATGATTGGTACAGTATTATTATCATGAAAACTACAAATAGTACGTTAATATATAACCAAGTAATACATACCCTGTAGACATAAGCGACACGTTTTCCGACGTAAAACCAAGAGTCAGCCTTCGAATCACATCCGTCAACTTTGAGTAAGGCGGTGTTTTCGTGTTGGTTGCGGAGTCCACGACGGAAACCTGTGAACACTGCCCGGGAGTACAAACGTCCTTAAGGCCTCTTCTGGCGCCTTTTCTGTTTCACTACTTTCTTCTCTTTGTCGGCAGATTCGACAACTTTTTCAGTTTTGACCTTTGCGGCCGATTTACTGGCTTTTTTGGCGGACGCCTCCGGCATCTATAACAAAACGGAAGTTTAGAAATTTAATCCGATTCGATCCTTCAATTTGGCGAGTGTTCCGCGATTAGTTTCATAACAACAGCCCCAGCGGGAGATACAGGGCTGATATTTGAAAACTTAATGCGAATTTGAAACGAAAAAACATACCTTTGAAGAGCGTTGAAACGTTGATGAAAAACAATTCGGTCGACGTAAATGGCGAACAGCAGTCACTAGAAAGAGGAATTATCACACGGTAAACAAATACACTATAACCTGAAAACGACTCGTGTCTCGGGTGGTGGTGGGGGGCGAAAGACCGTATGCCACGGCGCCATGGAAGAATAAAATACAGTGATAAGCGCCGCCCGACCGATGTTTAAATATCTGCTTGCTCGGGCAATTCGAGAAAATTTAGAAACTGCAATTTTTAAAGCTTCCTCCCAACTATCCAAGTCCAAGATGATCCTTATAACATTTTTATAGATCTTGACCGTGGCTACCGGTCATAAAATTGAATTAACTTGCAGATCCAGTACGCCGTTCGGGAAATTCGGGAAATCTCTGGAAGGTTTTTCCTCCAGAGGTGGTATCCCCGCCGGCCGAGCGCCCGCACGCACCAATACTGTCGGTGTTGTGTAACAACTGTGTAAGTACAAAGTTGTGTTAACACGACAAAATGGTGGACCAGCCCATGTCTTCGGTTCGCCCGTGATAATCATAATCGTCTCGTACTTTCGCCGACCGGCCGACTGTCGATGGTGCACAGTGGAGCCGACACTCGCTAGGAAACCGAGAAAAGTGACTTCAGGAAAAAAAGAACTCTAGTGCCGATCTCCGTCCGCCAAACGCGACTGAACTCTAAACGCCCTCTCACGGTTTTGGTTCGGTGACATTCGAAAACGATCACTGACTTCTTCTATGCACACACGTCATTTCCATGAAATCTCCTATGTCCGATTGGTGAGTGTAACCGTCTACGGCGATATTGTCGCTGTCACGTTAACATTTAACAGTTGTAATTGTGTACTCTGCATCGGTGGTCGTTAAAATACTATCATCTCACCCACCCTTCTGAATACCACTTAACAAGTCTGTGTGACTCCGACTTCCTGTCTCATCGGCCGAATCTGGTGTCGCTACTGAACCATTAGTAGTTGTCTGTAATACCGATTGTGCCTGACACAGAGTTTGATTTCTACAAGCTGATTACGCTCTCTGTACTTATTGTTTGAATTTATGATATTATTGGGTCTTAAAATTAACTGTAATTGAACTTGAAGTATACTTATAGTCTTATAAATAAATGGATCTTGCTTAAGAATTAAACCTTAAAGAAGAAATTGCAACCTGTTTTTAAATTATTGCTTATGTTTAGATAATAGATACCTACCTGTTGAAAATGTTTTTACTTTGATTAAATCTGAGTTCAGGATATATTTGTTTAACTGTTTTTCACTCTAGTTTAGTACTATAATTGGCTAATAGATTGTAATTATTATTTATTTTAGGGTTAAGAAAAATGACAGTTTTATCGTCAGCAGAGACAGCTGAACAGCCACCACGCAAGAAGTTGTGTTTATCAGCATCCAGGCAACTACAATCTAAATCCTATGCACTCTCCCAACTTAACCCGATGGCATCACCTCTTGACCAGCCTGGTAACTGAAGTTTTCAATTTTTCCAATCAAGTTCTGTTAATTTAAAAGTTTTTAATTGCAATACATTGCTATTTTCTATATCAAAATTGTTCGTGATTAAATAATTGATCTAAGTTGTTAATAATTGCTGTTTATTAAGTCTTTATTATTATACATTTTCAATATGGAACCAGACTTCGAAAGCCACGTTATGTGGTATTTATTGGGTTACAGTTTTCTAATGTTTACTGTTCCTTTTATTGGATATTTTTCTATGAAATATTTTCTCGGGCAAGTTTTAAATATTCAAGGATATAGAGTTATTGCTATATCCGTTATTTTTGCTGTTATTATTGTACAATTAATTATTTATAGTTATGTAAAACAAGCATTTAATGAACCTGTCGATACAGTTGATGATAATAATGAGGATCATGAAGATGAAAAAGAGGTTAACACTGACAAAAAGGATCAATAGTTATACAATTTTTTTTTAACTTAGTATTTTCTGCGTTTCTTTTATTTTAGTGATAATAAGCTAGTTGTAAAATTATTGCATATAGATTTTAAGCATTCCTTATAATCTTCATTATTATAATCTAATTTAACATACTTTATAATTTACATTCCAATATTATTTATTATTATTAATAATTTATAATAGTGTTATCTATCTATGAACAATTTACCTTATAATTTTATAGATTGGCTGGTAAATATTTTAATTTTAAATGAATAAATAAATATATTGTTTACCCCATTTAGTATTTTTTTTTTATCTTTATACACATTCTGTTAAGAAAAATATTGAATAGAAAAATCCTATAAAAAAAATCTTAATATCTATACTTATATATAGTACATCAATCTTATAATTAACTTAAATTTATCTAAATAGGTTATTGATATTTAGTCTAGACATGGCTTAATAAAATTAAGAAGTTGATATAATACATTGTCATGTAGTTAGTTATTGGGTTTAGTATCTTGGATATGTATTCAAGTATAATGATGGTACATATTAATATTATGAAAAGTCATTATTTTATTATCAATACGTAACTAATTTATTACTTTAAAAAGTAAAAAGATATTATTAAATAAGTAAAATAAATAACTAGGTTTTCATACATATTAAAGTTTTCTAACATAAATAGAATTTTTCTTACTACTTTTTTAATATTTTATTCATTTGATGTATTAGTTTTGCATTTTATAAGATATGTACTAATTATTACTTTAATATTTATTGGAGTTGATTCATCTCCAATGTATAATATATACGTGTTACATATAAAATGTGTTATTAGAGGGAAGGATGGATGACATGACAGTTATTTTAAATCAGGTGATATGTTTTAAATCTTTAATTCAAAACAATTTTTATATACGTTTATTTAAGTCTTCTTCGATTATAATATTTATACACAATTTAATATTCATTCTGTTTTTAGTTGATATTTTCTGTTTGTTTTTGTATATGAAATCCTGTTTTTAATTTGATTATATTTTAATATTTTAATCTGGGGTAAATTTAAATTAAATAAAAATACATTAACTGTGCAAGGGTTTTAAACAATAAAAATGTGTTGTTTGTGTTGAGTAATTAATTAGTTTGTTTACATTAATGATATCATACTTAGAGTTATATGTGTTATGAAATGTATACTGTATAATTGCTTTTAAAAATAGGTTGTCTAGTAGACAATTTATAACATTTTAATTTTCTTTAAAGTTATCCGGCATATCAAGCAACAGCAACAGCTGCAGCAGCAGCAACAGCAGCAGCAAATAAACTGTTCTTGTGACAATGAAAGTAATGGGTCCCCTGGTGTGGCAACTTTATGTAATCTTGGTAACACCTGTTTTCTAAACAGTGTTTTATACACGTTGAGATTCGCACCTTCATTTTTGCACAATCTTCATCATCTTATCACTGAGTTACAAGAGATCACTGGTCGGTCAACAAATGGACTCAAAGTACTATATACAAGCAAATAAGTTAATTATTATGTTTTCTTATGTAATTTTTTTAAATTTTTCCATAGGGAAAATGTTCTTCTCTGGGCAGAAGTACAAGTTCAGTCAGCAGCAAAATGTGGAACTTTCAATCATCATTAAACGTTAGTATGAACGATCTAAAAATCATACAAGTTACTGAACGTCTTCATCAAGTATTTGAAGCGTTACATAATTGTGAGCTCAAAGACAGTTCAGATCCATATCAACCTGAAGTCTTTTTGCAATCATTAAGGTATATATTAGATGACATATTTTTATAAATATTGTTATTTTTAATTCTATTTTAATGTTGTGTAAATAGAGATGTCAATCCAATTTTTGAGGGAAACCAACAACACGACGCCCATGAACTACTTGTCTGCTTGTTAGATAATATCAGAGAGGGGTGTAAATTAGTCATGCAGCATTCTGCTCAAGTGAATTGTTTCGTTGCACCTGCTCCAGTCATTCAACCTGTTGCACCCAATAAATTGAAAAAATTTTCTGGACAAGTGCGAAAGTCTTTAAAAATTGCATCCAGTAGTAAAACACGACCAGTCAATGGCATTCTCCCGCCCAGTGTTAATATTGCTAGTGATAAGGTGGCTTTACCCGAAAATGACAATTTTGCTGGTACATATTTTGATAGTAAAAAATCATAATAAAAAAGTTTTAAAGAATTTACCACTAGATTTTTTTTAGATGACAAACAATTGTATGTAGTAAATGGAACTATAAATGCTGTCCAATCTGATGAAAATGAAAGTATTCCTAGTGGCAGCAGTAGTAGCAGTAGTAGTAGTACATCAATGTTTGATGATTTCCAAGGCGTTTCCCTGCTTCGCACTACTTGTTTAGAATGTGAATTTGTTACAGAACGGAAAGAGAGTTTTTGTGACATCTGTGTTCCTATAAATGGTTTAACCAATGGAGACATATCACCCGAAAATGAATTCAACCCTTATGGTTAGTTGTTTATTCTTCATTAACTTAATTATTTTAATTATTGTTTAGCATATTATGTATATTTGTTTTAGATTATGATAGTGTAAACAAATTGTATCATTCTGCGATTGTGACTGAAGAATATTTACAAGATACTGACAAATATTGGTGTGAACAGTGCTGTAGATATAATGAAGCCAAACGAAGTGTTGGATATGAAAGTTTACCTCGATTGCTGACATTACATTTAAAACGATTTTGCACCAACTATAGGTAATAATTCACATTTATTCAAACAATAGTACCCTACCTATGTATAAAATTATTAATTAATAAATTAATTTTTAGAGCTGTTGTGTCAAAAGTGAATGAACACATGCCAACTCCCTTGACATTAGAGTGTTTTTGTGAGGAGTGTTTATCTCTCAATTCACAACAACAAACTCGAGCTCATAGTTACCAGCTGTATGCCATAATAATGCATTTGGGTGCTACAATTGCCTCTGGGCATTATGTCGCTTATGTTAAGGCTCAGGACAACCTTGACGAGTATATCAACTGTCCTCGTGATCGACGCAAGACTGGAAGCCTTTCCGTCACACCCAATGGTACATTGCCAGCAAATTATAAAAAATCATCAATATCAAATGGTCTTTTTCGATTTCTAAAAATATCTTCAAAAACATCATCTTCTGGTGCTCCTAATAGTCAGTCAAGTGATTCAATTGATTCAGGAAAAGTTTCTTCGATTGGTCGATGGTGCCGTAGCTTAGAATGTTGTGGAGTAAGAATATTAGATAATTCAGAAGGCGGAGATAGCGTGTGGTTAGAGTGTGATGATGAAACAGTAAGAACAATGTCGGTTGCACAATTAACACAAATTTTAGAATCCAAATCATCAAAGAACTCAGCATTAACTCCATATTTATTATTTTATGTTAAAGTGAATCACAGCGAATAACTCATTATTTATATTCATATGAATAAACTATGGTAGTGTTCATTTGGTGACAAATAATAAATCAGAACTTTTAAGTGTTGGCACCCTTACCAAAGACTAATATTTAAGTGCACATTGTCACTACAACTTTTAATGTTTTAAAGTTAGTTATACAAGAATATTCAAACAATTTTATTATTAAAATTATCTAATATAATCTATCTCCACAAAATATACTATTAGCTAATTTAAATTTGAATAATATACGATTATCATAAATACTAAACTATACTCTCAACTTAAAGCAATAATTTATAAATATTGTATTCAATTTTATTTTTAAAGACATTGTCGACATTGATGAATGTATTATTGTAAAATATTATTTAGCAGTACAACAGTTGGCATTCTATTAATCTTTGTTGATCAAAGTGATGGTATTACTGATTATTATAATTACTGAAGCAATAAAAAGTATTTTAAAACTTGGAGTACAGTTTACAACTAAAGTTTAAAATAACTGATAAATGTTAGACATATTATTAAATATTTAATATATTATGACAATTATTAGAGAATAGTAATAACAATCATTATCCAATGAGTGTGTAAATCATTCAATTTATTTGTGTGCCAAATTATAAAATACTTTTTGTTCTTTTAAAGTGTTAAAAGAAAATAACGGCTGTGGTTAATGTTGACGTGAATAATTTAGATATTTTGTATTTATTTTATATTTAAATTATTTTGATTAAAAAAATTATAAGGTTTCACAAAAAATTAATTTTATAAACTGAACTTTATAGAACTGTCCTCAAGTCTTACATTTTTTATTATATTATACAGTCTTTTAGCTAGCTGTGTAAATGTGTATTCTAGAGTGAATTGTTCTAGTATACGTTAGGATAGGTTAATAGATAAATGTTTCATGATACGTAATAATCACTTATAAACTAGTAAAATTTTTAAACTATGTATTGTGAAAGTTACAAAATTAATTTTGTGATTATCACAGTAATAAATCATGGCTGTAACAAACTAGTTTGATATGATTATTATTATAGATTTCAATTAATATATCTTCCATATAAGTCGTACGGTTTTCAAAAGTATAATATATTGTGTTGCATTATTTAAAAATTAATTTAATTTTTATTAATTTTGTCATTTATAAGACTAAAAATTTGATGAATATTGGATTATTGTATGTCAAATATTTATTTTTTTGTATATTTAATTGTATTTTAGTGGTACTTTTTTTTAAGTTTTTAATCATTGATGTGAAACCTTATGATTTATTATTTGCTTTTTATAAATGTGATATGTTTGTTACTTTAGACTGTTAGATTCAAATTAAGTATTAGTAATTCCCCACTAAACTAAATTTAAAACTAATTTATAATACTGCACAACTACTATAACTTAAGAAATAAATGTATAATAAATAATATTTAAAGACCATTTTAAATACAAAGTTACATAAACTGTTGGCGAATTATGGTGGTCAAAGTTCTACAAGTTTTTTTTATTTGAAATTTACTATCTTATAATAATTATAATTGCATATAAAAATATATGCTAATCATTTTACTCTCAAGATAGATACATAATGTTAAGTTAGAATACTTGATATTTCTAAATAAATCATAAAACTGTATTTAAATATTGTAAATATAAAATATGTCATGCAAAATTGCAAAAATTGAAATGTCATAGTGCTCTGATAAATGCGTCCTCAATGTTATAATTGGTATTTACATATTTTTGGTTTTATACAATAATTGTATTACAGAACTCATCATTTTTTGTCTTCCTTAAATATAATTGGCTCAAGTATTTTTTTGTTTTCTACTCTCAAATCTCATTTCCGTGTACCTATATCTATGCTTGTATTATAAAATATATTTATTTTAATTTGGATATAATTGATTATGTACCTATATTTATTTTTATTGTCGCATATTGTTATGGCTTAAAATTGTGATTAAAACAAAATTATTTCTGTTTACCTATGTGCAGTGTTGTGTTTTTATTTATTTGTTGTACTTATATAAAATATACATTATGTCTAAAAAAATTGTCGAAGGCTAAATCTTTTAAAAATAAATAATAATACATACTTTCAGATTTAGAAACTAAATCTGTAGCATGTTAACTTAATTTCTGACCAATTAAAAATTCTCACATCGTCGCTGTGCATATTTGGTCAGTGTTAAGTGTTAGTCATTTTATTATTCTAAACAAATCAATATTAAATGTATAATACATTATTATATTACAAAATGTAAAAAGGGTAAAAAAAATTGTGAGCATAATCCAAATGGTTTTACCAATCTAATGTACCTTCTAAGAACTCAAACGGTACATTGTCTTCGATCACCGTTTCGATATGCTTCTTTTGCAAAGTTTTCTTGTTGCTGGCCATCATTGCTTTGTGACATTGTTGTGCCAAAATCCCAACAAATTGCTCCTGCAGAACAAACGAGGAATGCGAATTATAGAGTTTTTCAGTGTCAGTTCAATAGCTTACCGTCGCCTTAGTGACCAGGAATACTGCTTCGCCTGCCACTATATTGACGTCGGGGTCCATTTTCATGATCAGCTTCACTCGGCCGGGCGGCAATCCCTTGTGTACATCTTTCGTCTTGGCGCCCGGGGAATCCTCTTTCCGGGATCCAGTCGACTGGTCGGGGTCGGTATCCGCCGGTGGATCGTCAGCTGTAAGTCCATCTTCGTCATCCGAATCGTCGGTGTGATACTCGATACTGTTAACAAGTGGTTCGTCGCCAATACCGTCCGTCGACGACGCGGCGGGGTTTTCTTCGACAGGTGGTCTGCGGTCTTCTTCACGTATTTCCTCTAAAATCTCGGTCAAGATGTCGTCTTCGTCGACTGTGCTCTCGGGAAAATTCAGCTTCACCGACATCGGCTCACTGTCAAACAAGTTCGGTGAGTCATCTTCCATTGTTTTCATTCACCCCGGAAATTTGTGTTACAAAACGAAAATGTTTTTAAAAGCGAATCGTCTGGTGAAGACTAATAACCCGAAAAAATATAATTAAATGATAATCACATAATAACAATCACAACAATGTCCACTTTACCCGTGAGTTTCCACGGTCGAGTTAAATTTGAAATTTCGGCGATTTCGTGTCGTCGTCTCAAACTCTTTATAATAATATAGTTTCAACATTATTCGAGTCTTCGATAGCCTGCTTTATTATCGTGTTCGAAGATAACACATTTTTGGCGGGTAAAATTATAACCTCAAAATGATTAAATTGTCTGAAAAAGTTAAGTGCACAATGAGTTGTCGGACGAAAGACAGCGCGGCGAATTTTTATTGATCCGGTTACGTCTTCATAGTTAATTTATCTGCCCGCTACTTGGAGCTGAGAAATCACATTAGAATATGACTAAGAAGGTCCCCGCATCGGTGGCAGTAAAATGAATCCAGACACAATTTACAGCCACCGCTCCAGTGGGTGTGGACCTTAATAAGTCTGTAAAAAATGAATTTAATCAAATGCTCGACATGGTAAGTGTTGTTAACTCTATTAAATTCACCTACAATATGTAAAATTATTTTCTTACAATAGGTCAGGACGCCAAGTACATACAATACAACCACAAACACAAAAGGTAAGGAGACAAATGATTAAGAAAACTATTCTACTTTTTAGAATTATATATACCTACCTACCCATAGACTTTAATTAGATTAAACTTGGTCTCATGCAAAAATGTATTTCAAACAAAGTCTACAGACTACAAGTGTTCCCTGCTTGATGCACGCAAGCAATGCTGAATGCAGACATGCAGTAAAACTATATTGTAAATTTGTACTATTATAGTCCTCCCATATAATATATTTTTTAAATGATATATGCTTAATACCAACTTGGTCCTTTGAATAGAATATATTTTGTCACACCACGCACATCAACACCAAATAGACAAATAGACACGATAGCTAATTGATGTTTTATTGCACTAATGGATCGAAAATTCATAGGTACATAATATTTTAGGTTATAAATTATAATACAATTTGTACTATTGAAGAGTTGAGTATAGGTATACAGGTTGCTTAAATTTTAAGCCTATAGGCTTTAACAGATTTAAAATTAGGTATACATTTTACATTTACTATAATAATGTTTATGTACACACGGTAACCGGTTAAACGTAAGACACTTATTATTTTAAAAACTATATTTTAAATGTATTAGCTTTTTTTATGCAACATACGTTTTTTTAATTCTTTATTCCAAGGCAGAATATTTTTTGGAGTACATCAAAGTATAAAAATTGAATCATTGACGAGTATTTCATGTATCATGTGTTATAATTTGTAAGTATTTAAATACAAATACTAATTAGAGTTTAGTATAACAACGTGGAGTGGAACAGTGCCTCCCTAAAAAAAATGTTTGTCTACTAATCTAGGTACTCCTTAAAACATTAAATACCTATTTACTTTTAAGTTATAACTAATAAACTATTTGTACAAAATTTGATTTTCATAGATCAGAATAAGTATTCCAAATAATACTTTGCTTCAGAATATGAAATTAAAAATGAGTAAAACATAAAAAAAGATAACGTTATAAAATATTATTTTTCCAAAAATGTGATTTGTAGCTATTACCTATTTCAAATTATGAAAAAAACAAATTACAAAAACGATATTGACTTATAAAATGAGTGTCTTACATTAAGTGGATCTCTACCCCCTAGAATTATAAATGCATAATATACCTTATCTTATATTATAACAAACCTTATAAATTTATGGTACATTAATATGATGTACATAGGTACATCATATTAATAATGTATTCTAATTTTGTATTCAAGTAATGACTGTAGCCTGTAGAGTGTAGGTACAGCGAGAATAGACAGAAAATAATTTACATTTATAAGCTTCAAGTCGAAAATATTACTATTGTGAATGCGTGTACCACAATACGTAAGTGGCAGTGTAGTCTATTTATGATATACAATAATTGAATTCTTGCTTTTTGATTTTAGAATCTATAGTCTATTGTGTATTTTTTTTTTATTGATCTTAAGCATTTGCAACTTTCTATGGCCATTACCATTTAGGGGGGGGGGGAGTTATGGTTGTTTGACGAACATGTGTATGTGATGAGGCCTGGATTCGTCACTAAAATCAAGGGTGGTCATCCATCCAGGAGCTAGCGTCGCCGGCTGATGCTTGACCTCAGAACACATTGATGACTGAGGCGAACCACCGAGTCACACTAGGCCCAAAATCTATGCTTTTTATTTTATTTTTTTTTTATTTTAAATATATTCAATCTGTTTACAATAACAAACAATAAGTAATAAGGATAACAAATTATTTACAAAGACATGAATAACATGAAGAGGAGACCATTCATTAACAGAACCTCAGATAAATCAATGCTTTTACAAACAAATATAAGATATTATTTTGTATGTCTTGAGTATTTTGACCAATGTGCGGCGCTGGGTAGGCAATTTGAAATCATTGTTTTAATGTCAATATGAAAATATTTCTTTTATCTATGATATATAAATAATAAAAATATTCTTCGAATAAATAATAGTAAAATAATTTCAATATTTACGTTAAAAATTATATTAATAAAAAATATTAATATTCACGAGATGATTATAACTAATCCCATATTAGTAAATTATTGGTACCTACTTGATATAATTTGTATTCCTTTCAGTTTTTAATCTAAAAATATAGGTACCTAAAAAATATGTTGGTTGACTGAATAATTTTAAGTGAAGTATTTGTTTTAATCCAAATATTGTAATTATTACAAATACATGACCTTAATTTAATCAGTGTATTTCAATAAATATTAAATAGTTTGAAATGATAATTATAATAATTAACTTACTTGATTTAAAAACTGAGTGCGAATGATACTAATAAGTTATAGATAATTAACTTTCATAATATTTTATTATATTCTCTACCTTAATGGGAATTGGAAAAATTGTACAAATTATGTTATAAGCAGACACTGGTAGATGAAGAGCGTTGCTCTCTGGACTTAATCGTTGCCCCCTAACTAATACTAAATGTATGTATGTAGTGGCATGTTATGGTTAATTAGATATACATTTTATTTGCCCCCCTCCCTAAAATTTGGTTTGCCCTATCTAAAGATTTGGTCTGGCTACAGGCCTGGTTTTATTCCACCTTGTATATATTATACATTCATATATATATTTATACATAGGTAATTGTTGTATACTATGGGTATATTTTTGCAACAAATTTTGGTTTAATATTCTGGAAATTTCAAATTCATTATAGTAATTGGGTAAACCGTTCACATTTTTTTGAATATAAGAAAATACTACAAGCTTTCGTATTAATATATTATAGATGCATATGAATCTATTATTTTAATTTTATGATAATAAATCATGTAGTTCTGTTATAATCATATTGTACCCATGGTTGTATGATCTGAAATCGATATTTGGGAGTAAATTTCATTCTCAAAGCATAATAATTAATAAGTTTTAACCACTGCGCCCCTTTTTGAGTACAATATAATATCGTATAATATGTGTACATATGTCAGGTATTCACATTTGTATAGGAGTTTGGTCTTATTATTAAATTTAAAAAATGAATTTAATACAATTTTCGGTGATTGTGAGAAATTATAATTATGAACAAATTTATTTATATTTAATTATTATATATACTTGAGATATTTACTATATAATTATATAGTACGCTTTTTACTTTTTTTGTGTGAATTGTATGTGTTGCGTTTGCATTGGTTATGTATTATTTATGTATAGAGAGAATGTTTTCTACAGTTAGAATACTGGTTACCTGACAGTTCTTAAACTAAAAAGAAAACACGAAAATAGGTACCTGAGAAAGGTTGAGAAAATATACTTCTAGTTCTAATAAATTGGATTTTTTTTTTGTATCTATGTATGTTTAATCTTTAACCGATTTTTAAGTTTGAGTGGTTTGACATTAGAACGATGTACCTAAGTCTCTTTACCCACTTTTAGGTAAGCACTTCAAACTTCGCTTGAAAATAAAACTCATGCTATATAATACCCTACTAAGGTTTTGAGGTGTTACTAATAAATCAAACATTAATTCAATATACAATTTACAACCAATAGCATTAGGTGTACTAACAAATGCGCCATGCGGCATTTCATGTCTTTTGTACTTCTAACACTATTTTTTGGATGTTTAAAAAAAAACACTAACTCGTATAGGTACATCCTTAATACTTAAATAGTTTTTGTTTTAAGATATTATTGCAGCTTTGTCAATACTAGTCTTAATATTAAACAAAAAGAAAACAGAAATACCGCAATGACATTTTTATTTATTAGCTATAAATGATTACTATCTTGAGATCGGACTTCGCTAAAAAAAATTGATAAGAAACGTATTTAATTATTATAAAATTATATAATCCAATGACCTTTATATCTATAATATATATTTAAGTAAATTATGTTGTCCAAAATACAAATAAACTTAAATCAAATTTTAGATGATATTTTAGTGGTAACTTAATACTTTATTTTTTCTAGTTATGATATAGTACGTAAAATACTTAAATATTCCTAGTTTCATTGATTGTAATTATAAAATATGTACCTATTATGTGTTGCCTGACACAAGATAAAAAAGTGAGACAAGGAAACTACTTATAACATACTTTGAATAAACAATTGTTTTATAATATTTAGTCAACTTTAGAAATTGGTTTGACTAGATTTTACCAAGTTTAGGTCAACTTATTATTAGTTAAATCTTAAATGTATTGTCATTTTTTACCCTACACATTTTAATATTAAAATAATCAAATTAATTCCTATTTGAAATTATTAACACAGTTTTATACTATATTTTTATATTTATTTAAATGCTTTAACTACATAAGTTTTTAGCTTACATTAACTTGATATTTAAACAAAAGAGGTATTAATATAAGCTAAATCTAAATACAAATATTGATACGTTATTTCCAATTTATGGCTGTGGTTTGTAAGTATATTGCGGAAAAATGCACCGATTTCAATGGTGTTCTCTTCATTGAGGGCTTGGTGAAGTGTGAGAGGGTTATCGAGGATCTTGCTAGCTTCGGTGTGTTTGGGGGATAGTTGACGACTA